TAAAATAGTTTACTTAAGAGGCCCATGATCATATTCTTATTTGACCAATTAGATATTGTTTCAAATGTTTAAAAAATGTATTATCAATAGACATTTCTGAATGGTTTTTAATAATTAAAAGCTTGCTTCTACTTCAATCTGTACACATCATGTTCTCCAATATCCTTTTTGCTGCTGTTAATCCTCACCTGAGGATATTTTTCCATTTATTTTTTAGAGAGAGTGGAAATAAGAGGGAAAGACACAGAGAAAGAAACATCGATGTGAGAGAGACACATCAATTGGTTGCTTCCCACACACGCCCCGACCAGGGCCCCAGGGTGGAGTCTGCAACCAAGGTACATGCCCTTGACTGGAATCGAAACCAGGACCCTTCAGTCCACAAGCCGATGTTCTATCCACTGAGCCAAACCGGCCAAGGCCCCCAATATCCTTTAACGCAGAGCCCAGTGAAATGAGCTTAACTGAGTCAATTTTTTCCAGTACATGGGAAATACCATCCCATACTATTTACTCCCTGAAAATACTTTAGCTGGGCAAATGGATGCCCAGACAAGTAGTGTACCATGTACACACAGCTACGACTCATTTTCCCCCCTTAGGTTAATTTTGAAAAGAACATACTCAAAGTCTTAGAACACATTCATTTTCTGGAATTATATAGGTTTACTCCGTGTGAAGAGGAAGGAAAGCACGGCAGCCCTTTAGGACCCAGTGGCTCCTGCCCATAAAACCAGGGACAGGGAAAGCCAGACAACTTGTGTCACATCAAATGAAATCTAAGAAATTTAAAAGCTAATATAGCGTGGTTTCCTTGTCATCTCATTGGTTCAGGGTGATGTGCCCCATGCCTAGCTGCCTCTGATAGGGTAAAGCATTCCAGGATTTTGTTTTTTTTAAGGATTCAGGGATTTAGTATAATCATCCCTACTCATGGTTGTGCCCAGTCAGCCCAGTTTCTGTCTGCTTATAACCCAGATCAGCAGTTTGGACGTGCCAAAGACTACCACAAAATATTTGCAAATCCCAGTAGGGGAAAGAAAAAAAATGGCAGAGTGTCTGGAAAAACTTGCAAATTACTTTCCCCATTTAATACGTGGTTAGTAAGACAACCCAGGCTGTGAGATGCTCACGTGCAACGTGCACACATTCCCTCCACCCAGGACTCCTCGGTTGTCTTTCTGACCAGGGTGTTGAGAAAGGCCACACGAGGCTGTGGTGCTCAGGCCTCCTTCCAGCTTCCAGCCTCTACTTCTTCTTTTTTTTTTTTTAATAAACCTTTATTGTTCAGATTATTACAGAGGTTCCTCTTTTTCCCCCCATATCTCCCCTCCACCTGGTTCCCATCCCACCCCATGCCCTTACCCCCGGCCACTGTCCTCATCCATAGGTGTAAGATTTTTGTCCAATCTCTTCCCGCACCCCCCACAACCCCTTTACCCCAAGAATTGTCAGTCTACTCCCTCCCTTTCTATGCCTCTGCTTCTATTATATTCACCAGTTTATTCTGACTTAATTTTTAGGTTCACTTGTTGATAGGTATTTATTTGTTGTCACTTTATTGTTCATAGATTTTATCTTTACCTTTTTCTTCTTCTTCCTCTTCTTAAACGATACCTCTCAGCATTTCCTATAATACTGGTTTGGTGGTGATGAACTCCTTTAGCTTTTTCTTATCTGTGAAACTCTTTATCTGACAGTTTCTAGAAAAT